GTGAGCCGTGGTTGCGTTTTCTGTGCCTGGATTGTGAAGTTCACTGTCACTGATGATGACCTCTTGAGGTCGAAACGCGTTACTTAATGTGTAAACAGTTTTGTTTGGATGGCAGGGTTTTATTTATCAATTCACTGTACGGTATGAAAGGTTTTAAGATGTGGCAGAGAGTATAAATTATGAAGTTGGTCATTACGTACCCCAGGTTCCGGTTGTGAGTCCATAGAGAAACTTTTCGTGAGTTCGGCGGAGTTTGTATTGCAAACGTTGCTTCTCATTGCAATGAAATACAGTGCCTTGAAGTTTCATAACTTCTACATTCTGCTCCTGCCCAAATTACCGCATTACTAACATCTGGTTCTATAGCAATTTCGGTGTAGGGTTCATAACATTCAAACACTCTCCTTGTAGCGTAATGAATGTTAAACAGGAAGGTAATTATGGGATGTAAAAGCTGAGCGAGGTTCTGAAACTTTCTTACCTTTGGCGTACGTACAAATTTTTATATTATATGCATGACCATAGAAGGAAATTCTTTGAAAAAGGAAAAACAGAAACTTTCCACCACATTGAGCTGCCATTCGTGTGTTGATCTTGATGATTTCCACACACTTGCCCATCAAGATGAGGTCACAGATCGTGGTTCTTCGGTTTATTCCGTCAATGCAGGCTGACCCAGTAAAATTTCTACTGAAAAAGTCGATGAACCCCCTCAAATTAGGTACAGGTGAACGGAAGTACATGGTTTTTATGCCCATATTTATCCAGTGCTGCAAACATCGCTTTTACGGTAAATGAAATTACCTCTATTTTTTCTCTCTTATTGATATCGACTCTTTTTTTTTTGTCGAAATGCCCGGGTATGAGAATTACGTTCATAAAATGTATACAATTTTTCTCCTAAAAACTACATCAGCGGCGAATAAGGTGATTTATATGCTGTGTAAAAGTGTGACTCATGTCGTATCGATTTTGCAGTTTGCCGCAGAGAAAAGGGGTCAGGAGATTTTCATAACCAAAGGCGAGTGAAAGTGAATTTGTGGCTTATGGAACAACCTTTTACACAGTAAACGATTTATTCTGTGTCAGGCTTTAACATAGATTGAAGGCGTTTTAGAACAACATTCTGAGGAGAGTTTTGGACCAAATAAAGATGACGTAACAGAAAAATCAAGAACTCTGCGTATGAGGAATTTCAAAGTGTTATATTCTGTATTTAAGCACACCGAATTCCTGATATAACGCGATATGATTTGTGCCCGTGATGTAATAGGAAATGCACTTATTGGATAAAATGTTACAGCAGCGTACTGATGGGAAAACGATTTAGGTCGGAGGATAATATTAAAATTGAAACACGGAAGTAGGATATGAGGGTGTTGATTATAATTTGTGTTTGGATGAAGAGATCTTGGTACGTCTTGCTACTGGCAGCGTCGCTATGGTTAAGAATGTACAGAGAGTGAGCAATTCTGTTCCAGGAACAACGATACTAGGCCTACAGAAGCAGCCTCGTTTTGTGTACAGTGCGAAATAATTATTGTTTATTTTGACTGCAAATTCAGCGATGGGTGCCCAAATTTTCGTGCTCTTAAGCAGATTATTTTGGTTTTAGAAACCAGAAATACCGTTTGCCTGTGTCACGCGAACCACTGTTTGAAAACAAAGCGCTTTCTCTCTTTTTCTTTCTTCATAAGTTTCATTCTTTTATAATTTCTTTGTGTAATTTTGTCGCTGTTATTTATTCCTTACTCTTGCCCTTATTTTCTAATCTCTTTTCTTCTTATTAGAATTTTTTTTTCTTGTTTCGTGTGTTTTGTTTCCGTGTTTATTATTTCTTACTTTTCCATATCATTCTTTCGTTATTATTCTCGTAGTTTAATAATCCGTTCTTCCTTTCTTTATTTCTCAATTATTTTTTTAATTCCATTTTTCGTCGTTTATGTCGTGTGTGCTCTCCTTATATTATCTGCGATTCATTTTTCATAACTATGAAAATATTCGTCGTCCTGGTCGCGACGTTCCATTGTGGTCGACTTTCGTAGATTGTAACTGAAATCCCCCCCCCCCCCCCCCAACCCCTAAGCCTGTAGGACAGATGTGCTACGTCGTAAAACCAAGTGAACTGGTGCTCAGGTGCATTTACTTGAAAGTATATGAGGTGACTTTAAACACGTCTTATCCTTTAAGATCTGCAACCATTGTAGGTCTGTGTTCTCGTACAGTAATTTTTTTTTTTTAGAGAAAGAGATTCCCACCAAACTAACTCCAGTTCTAATGTGCATATGGGAGTGGGTGATATTTGAAGTAGGGTAATAATGATGGAGCGATTCATGTAGACTAATAGTACAAAGTAATTTTGAACTTGTCATCGCAAATGATACGAGACTGGCACACCCCGATGTCTGCGTATCAATTAATCGAGAGTGGGGAAGTGTATTTCGATATGGAGTAAAGGTTTTTTTATTTTCCAAATGAGTTCTCTGTGTTAGCATACTTCATTGCTGTTGGCGTTCGTTTGTCTCAAATGCAAATGTTCTGCACGACTAATCACATTATGGATACGCACATCACAGAGACAGACAATAGTTTCCATCCTGTGTCTTTTTGTATTCGCCATGTTGCAGAAGGTTCAGATTTAAAGTACAGGTTGAAATATGGTGCGTCATGTTTTTTGTTTTTAAAAATCTATTAAGATCGATTTAAGTCAAGAACGGGTTATTGGACTGATATTTAAATTCGGCGAATGACGTCTAATGCATGTACCCAGTACTAAATTTAGTCGAAATCGGTGGAACATTTTCGAAGATCAGAATTTGCGGTCGGACCATGCGACAAACTGATTATGAATTTACAGCTGACTAATTTGAATAACTTCTTGTCGGACGTTTTTTGAAAAGATTTTATTCACTTTAATCACCTGTTGCTGCCATTTTGAATGCTGTTCTAGTGAACCTCTGATTCACCTTACGACCTTCAACTTTTGTCATACCTACACGTAAAAGTAGATATAAACACGTGAATATTAAATTGTCAGCTTTCTCTTGAAAACTCACTTTTGTTCAAATGCTTATGAATCGGAAATAGTCGTTTGATGTGAGACAGATTTTATGAAAAGGTTTCATTGGGACGTAATGCCTGCCTGTCACATTTAGCATTGTCGGGCTGATTTAGGTTTCTGATTCGTCAGTAGTTTCATAGTGCTCTGGACTGGTTTGTCGACTCATTAAGCAAATGAGATTCAGTGTTAAAAAACTGAACTTGAATGTAACTAACGTAATTTGTTACATGAAATTTTATATTTGTACCGCTATGACTCTGTCGTCTGGGTGTCGTTTGTGGATACTCTGGCTGAAATTATGTTTGAGTATTTAAATTTTATCCTGTCCTTCAGTTATTTTATTAGTAAAGTTAGTGATGTGCTCGATGAGTTTGTTTGTCTGAAGTTGGAATGTAATGGGACATACTGCACTTCGTAAGTACTTTGGTTCATAAGAAGTGCCTATCAGATTTGAATTTTATTGTGGAAGTTTGAAGCTTTCTGGTTATGATGCATTATAATGTGCAAAATTGCTCTTTTGGAATTCGTCTAGCGTCTGAATTGTGAAATTATAAAATTCCAGAGTTTCTAAATCTGGATCTGCTTTCGTCATCAGGTGAAATGGGGGAGGAGGACAGAGAACGTGGTGTCCTCCTCACACCTAGTTGAGGTAGCCACAGACATGGATCGGTGTCTTCGAAACTAAATATTTCCTTGGGATGGTTTAATTTTGAATCATTGGAAGACATTCAGGGTGGCTGTGGTAACTGCCGAAAGAGCGCGCGGATAGTTTCCAGACATTCCAGACGCTTTGCTAAACACACATGAAGTTAACAGGCTGAAATTTGAAGGTGACGACATTCATTGTTTAGTACGAAGACTTGAGTAAGGCCGTGAAGTTTGGCTACAGTTGGGGCAACTTTGGAGGTGACCTTACTTAATAACTGTTGATGTCAACACACATTTATAGAACCAGTTCGGCTATGCAACCGCCACACGTCGTAGGCGTGAACATGGTTGGAAACGAAAGCAGATTTTAATTATACAGGGTGTTCAATTTTTGCCGTAATCCCAACTAGTACACATGAACCTCTTCACGAGGAGGAGGGGGGATTGGGGGGGGGTTATACTGGGGTGTGCCTGCCTCTGGTTTTGCTTTTACACCGTAGTACGGGCTGCGTTTTAAATGGCACACTCTGTAGAACGGAGAAACGTAAATGCTGGGAATGTCCGCATTGTTTTACAGTGCGTAACACTTTATTTAAATCACCTTCCCAAGGGATCTCTCTTGTGTCTGGAAGGTGGTCGTATTTCAAGGATCGAGGGTGGAGTGGGGGGTAGAAACATTACCTCTGTTTTTCGTTCCTGTGTGACTGAAGTTTGATTATCAAGAGGCGTGTTTTCACTGTGTGAACACCCGTGGGAGACCAAGGCCGTGAAGTTATTGTAATGGTCTCTGTAGCTACATTTTGGAACTGATCTGCGTCTGTAGGACACAGCAGAGTAGGTTTTGTAAGTTTTACTGATGATAGTAGCAGAGACAGTCCCCGAAGCTTCCTGTATTAAAAAAAATGATGGAAAATGCCGAGAATATGTGTCAGTTTAATAACGCTCGTTCGTCACAGAAGTTCCTGAGTTATTACATTTTCCGCGTGATTGAGCACGTGGCAGGTGACGTATTCTTAATGCGATCTACAACTTTAATTTGTATATTTTATGACTTTTTAAACCTTCCTTCAGTGGGATGGCAAACGCCCGCGAGGTCCAGTACAAATTGACCGACGTTTCAGAGATGCTTATTAGTCGTTCGCTCAGACATGAGCTATGGATCGGCGCGTAAGGGAGGGTACTGACGCTGTCTCCTAGTGATAGTGGGGAACGGAGGAGAACACTTTTCTCTGTACTACTGAACACAAAAACATCAATGCAGACTGAATTACTTACAGCGGCTGAAGATATTTTACAAAGCTTCTATTCCACTTAATTCCCCATCATCTTCTTCTGCATCTTCTTCCTCCCTCTCGTTTTCCTCACTACTGCTACAACTGTTGGTATCACTGCCATCTTGTAAATTAACTGTAATTTGTTCCGAAATGTCATCAAGAACAGGTTCCAACCGCAAGTAATTCTGTTCGCACTGACGGGATTTGTTGCACCTCGAGGTCCATTCTTCCTTTGTGATGCTACTAAACTTTTCCTCAGCTAGTTTCATAGCATCATCTAGACGGAAACTGACATTCTTTCTGGCGACATATTCTTTGACCAATCCCCATATCAGTTCAATCGGATTCAGATCTGGATGATATGGCGGCAAGCGAAGGGCAGAGTGGCCATGTTCAGACAGTAGAGCGTCAATTTTGAATGTTTTGAATCGTGGCTTACGCAGTTTAATTAGAGAATACAATTCGGGCTTACACATTCCGTCACTGAAAGGAATGCTACGATCTGAAAGCCAGTCGATCATAGCACTTTTTCGAGATGAAGAAGTTGGAGCCGGATTAAGTTGTACGTTATGGTAAGCTGCATTGTCCACTACTAATACCGAATTTGGTGGAAGGTTTGGAATTAACTTCGTTTTGAGCCATCTTTCATAGTTGTCAAAATTCATATCATGATGATAATCTCCAGACTCTGCCCACGCTTTGCATTCTGTTCGTGCTGAGTAGAAACAGCGATGAATATGAAATGCCTATTAAAAATGGGTCAATGTTTTTGAAATGGAATTTACCACACGAAGTGAACTCGGTCGCTTCTGCCTTGCAACTGAGCTCTGAGTTCACCCCACCCACTGTTCGGGGTGGAAATGCACTGCACATCTCAAGGCCATAGCTCATGTCCTAGCAAACAGCCTATACTCGCCACCTGATTAATATTCTCATCGCCCTGATGATGGAGGCAGTAGGCAACTTTGAAATCCCCGGTGCAACAACCCAGAAGAAAGCCATCTTCAGACTCGCCTCCGTGAGAACTTGAAATGTGAACCTAATTAATGATCGCGCTGTTTTTACGTTGTATGTGTTTTAACGAAATTGATTTAAATTTTATCTGAATTTGTGTAATATTTGCAGTCGTAATTAAGTATTAATGAGTTCGTGTATGGCAAGCAAAACCTTTATTATGTTCCTGAACTCATTTCATTATTTTCTTCAGTAGGGAAAGTGAGATGACGCTTAATAATTGAGTGGATCTCCGTGTAACTACGGGCGAAGTGGTCCGTTCTAACACAGTTGCGAGCTTAATTCCTGCATTAACAGAAACAAACACGATTCGTTGTCGCCTGAAGGCGTTAAAACATAAAACGAAGCTCCTGTTCTTGTCATCTTTATGTCAATTTAAATTCAAAATCGACTGCGTTTTATCGCAATCCGTTTGGCAGTAATGAAGTAACGTCGTGTCTTTTATCGGTTCGTACGATGTTGTTACTTAATTTAATTTTAATTATTGTGCGTGCCATCTGTTGAAGGCTGTTTATTTACATTACTACTGTTGTCACTTGTTTCGATTGTTGAGAAGTCGTTATCGATTATGCGTGGTTATTTTCCATTAGTACTGTTGTCACTTGTTTCGATTGTTGAGAAGTCGTTATCGATTATGCGTGGTTATAGGCGTATTCAGGCGTTTGAATTGGATAAAATGGATCAGAGTATCATGGAAGTTATTTGAGGCTTGTCAGCATATGCCAACGTTTCGGAGAATTATAATATCTCCATCTCTAGGGCTGAAGTGGCAATACTGGGAATTGAATTGAAGGGATTATTCCTTCCTAACAATGTCACTTCAGCCCCGATAAAGGAGGAAATTTATTTCTCCGAAACGTTGGAATTTACCGATGAGTCTACTAACTGATCCCGAAAACTGTTTTGCGTATTACCAACAGTAATGCTCGTAGCCGTGATAATTATAGTTCTGTCAGAGAGTCCCTGGAGGTGTTTCGGGGACGGCTTAAATTTCCAGATTGTTTCCACACGTTAGTTCTCGTTTGGAAGGGCTGGCGATATGTAACTGGAAACTTCTGAACGGAGTTTACTGGAGCGATAAAACACGACGGAGAACAACGGAGGGGCGCGTTTTAAATGATAAAATGTCACTGTTGAATTTTGGATTGTTCCACCTTTTTCAAACTGAATGTCTTCCGGAAATAGGACCCATTCATGCATGCAGTTTCTAGTATTTTTTGATGATCAGAACTTGTGTTTGGTGATTTGTGAAGATGTACGCGGACCGTGTCTGTTTGATGTTTGTTTTGGTGCTTTCAATACAGACAGACACCGTGTTCACATCTTATTTCTTTAGGGTAAAGAGAGGAAATAAAGTTCCATTTCGGCAAGACTGTACAAGCAAATAGATAAGTGAATGGGGTATTAATGCACGGGTTTTGATTTATTTTTAACAAGATGGCGCCCCCCCCCCCCGCCCACACTTTACGAAAGAAGCCATGGTATATCGTGTTTCACAAGATTAAGGGGTCGTGTGACGCCGAGCCTCACACATGTTCTCCGACATCTGACGTCTTCCAACAGCTTTAAAAATAAAATAGTAGTAAGGAACTACCCATCAACGGGAGTCTCCAGGTTCACATGACAGTTTCTTGGTTGCCTAGATACGGGATAAGATCGAGTTTCGTCTGGGAAACAATTTGTCATTTATTTATTTATTTATGCCAGTTCACTTCAAAGTAAGTGAATCTGTCTCACGTGCTGTCAATTTTTAGCGTCGGACGGGAAATGAATAACCATTAATTGCGTTATTAATTAATTATCATATTATTCAGCGCAATATAATCTGAGCTGCTGATGGTGTCGTTAAATAAACAATGCACAGATTCTCGCCTTGTAGCAATTGTGTCCGTTCAATCAATTCTTCAGTTCTGTACATCGACCTAACTGAGCAAAGAATTTCCTGGAAAAGACCGGAAGTCTGTCATAAAATGATTCTGTGTGCTAACAACTTCCTGGAAGTTTCTCCAGTCCACTTCGTACATTAATATTTTTGGAGCACATGCACACAGTGTTAGAAGATTTCCAAACAGGAAGCTGTAGCCCACTGTCCGTCCTTCTAGAAACAGCGACCTGGCAATCCACTCGAATATTCATTATTTTTATTTGACAAATTAATTTTTGTTACTTATTCTCTTATAATCTGATATTTTGTGGTTTTCCTCTGTCACTCCAATCAGATCACGTTCTTCCCAGAACCTTTTCTGATTCATTTAACGGCTCTGCCTCAGAAAGCGTCCTCCCCGATATTTGAACCCAGTTTTCACGTTCGCTGGGGCAGGGATAGATTCTATAACCCAGACGAGAAATGCTTGTGTGGTGCGATAAAGTCTCAGTGGTATGCTGACCAGCAGGTATAAGGGCTAACGGAAGGGAAGATAACAGATGTAGAGAGCAGGTCTTGACTACTGCGGGGTTGCCATATCACGAGACTTGAGATGCTTAGAACTAAGAACTTCTTTGTCTCTCATTTCTCTTAAACTTGTCATGCTACACTCGTTTCTTGGAAGCCTTGTTTTGATTTGTGCTGTTATGTGTTCCTGCCACAAGACAAGCTTGTATCTGTATTCGTTGTATTCTTTATCATTGGCCAGAATACGTATCTGTATTCCAGGAACCATTAAAGTAGAAGAAGTCAATCGCTTGCTTATTTTATTCACATTTCGCGATTCGTGTCGAAACGTAAGTGCCGATCCCATCTGCCGTTCGACGTGTACCCTACGTCCGGCTGTAAGCCTAATTTTTACAGCCCATAGGTATGGAACTATTAACGCCTGTTGTGAAAAGAACGAGCTCTCTGTTCATGTGGCAACAAGGTTACATTTCATCCGGCTGTGTCAGGGAGTCTAAATATAAATGCGTGACCTCATAGTCATCATGGCTGGCCCTTCAACAAGTTGTGCTTTCATGGAGCTCGAAGAAATACAAGTTTTAAATGAAGTTTTAGAAGACGAAAGTGTAAGTGAATATACTTCGGACGATGATGGTGTATTTGACAATGATTATACACAGTTTGTGACTCCTGGAACTCACGTGATTAGTGATAGTGAGAGTGATAATGATAGTGAGGAAATACAGGAAGAAATCGTACACGTAGGATTGGGAGGGGTGTCCAGTAAGTTTGTGTGGGAAAATATAGACTCATTTCCTGCATCACGAGAAACATTTTGTAATGTATATGGTCCCCAGTTCGACACTGCTGGACTAGATGTCGTGAGTTCATTCGAGAACATTTTTGATGTACCTCTTGTACAGCTGATTGTAGAGCCTACCCTTAAATCTTACTACGCAAAGAACCGGTTGCTGTCCACCCCGTTTTTTCCTGAGACTTTACCTCTGGAAAGACTAGAGGTAATAAACAAATTTATGCATTTTGTAGATAATAGTAAGGAACATGAATATCAAGGACCTCCCAAACTTTTCAAAATTTATCCAGTCATTCAGCACCTAAATAACAAGTTTCAAAATTTATATCTTCCATCCCAGAACATTTCGATAGACGAGTCCTTGACTCTGTGGAAAGGTCGTTTGTCTTTCAAACAATACATTCCCCTCAAGGCTGCTCAATTGGGCATAAAAACGTTTGAACTATGCGAGTCTAGCTCTGGCTATGTGTGGTCTTTTCTCGTGTATACTGGAAAAGACATGGAACTGACGAATCAGTTTGTGACTGCAGAAACAAGCAAAACTGCAGTAATTGTAGTCAAACTGTTAGAACCTCTTCTTGGTCGTGGACACACAGTGTGGATGGACAATTTTTATAATTCACCACATTTGGCTCGGTTCTTAAAGTCTAAAAAAACAGACTGTGTTGGAACTTTACGTCCTAACTGGAAAAATGTCCCTCCTGCAGTGAAGAATATGAAATTGAAGAAAGGAGAGCACTGTGGTCAACACTCTGGAGATGTGGCAGTTCTCGCGTGGCAAGATAAGAGGCGAGTCACCATGATATCTACATACCACAAACATGATATCTGTGTGACTATAAATACAGCAAAGCAAGAACAAACAAAGCCTGTGGTTGTTCGTGACTACAACAAACACATGCTGGGAGTGGATATGAAGGATCAGATGCTCCAGCCTTACTTGCTAGAGCGAAAGAGAGGAACAAAGTGGTACATGACATTGTTCAAGAGACTACTCAATGTAGCAATACATAATGCAATGGTCATGTATCGGTGTGTTCCAAATAACAAAAACATAGACACCCTAAGATTCAGAATTTCATTAGCCCAAGGCCTCGTGGAAAAACACGGTCCTGGTGTTCCGCGTCCTGTATTCGGCCGTCCGTCACTTGAGCCCCCACCTAAGAGACTCTCAGAACGACATTTCCCGGACCGTATTCCTCCCACAGCAAAGAAGGCAAGACCTCAAAGGAAATGTGTGCTGTGTACGAAACACGGAAAGAGGAGAGATTCTAAATATTGGTGTAGTAAATGTGGGGCAGCGTTGTGTATAGAAGGATGTTTCAAGAACTACCACACAAAACTAAACTTCTAATCCACCTGCTTCCATTGCTCACACACAGGGTGCTCATGTTATAAGGTAAGATTATAAAACTATCTTTTAATGATGATTTTCCACTCCCTCGGTTATTATGCGTAGAATGGTAGGATGGTTTGTGAATGATGAATTGCAGATGGCGCGGAAGCATGTGGTTGTGACCGACTTGGTGTTTTTTCACGACAGTTGCCTAAATGGACTCTGGAGAACGACGAAGAATTTGATGTTTTCAGGTTTCTGAGCCTGGATTTCAATCCGAGATTTCCCGAATGCGAAGCAACAGTGATGCCAAACAATCTCTTTAATGCACTTACTGGTTTGAAGATTCCTGTCTTCTGGGTTGTTGCGCCGTGTAGTGTGACCTCTGAAAATTTGGCAGACGTCGACCAGACTACACAGCGCAACAACAGAAAGAAATCTTCATACTCACCGCTGTGAAAACCTCAAATATAACATTTACTAGTTTGTAAGACTTGAGGTTCTCACAGCGGTGAGTATGAAGATTTCT